AAATTCCCTCAAGATATCTTGAATAAGGTTTCTAGATAATTTACAGTAAAGTGGGCACAACTTTATTAGTAAATCACAAGTGTGCTTTGAGAAATTATCTGTAGGTAGTGTTAACAGTGATTCTTATCTTTTCTCTCAAGTAACCCTTCTAGAATGCTACAAGATCATTTGTAGAACAGGATTTATTTTTGTAGACAGTTTTTGGATAATTTATAGTCTATGATAGTTTTCTTAGTAATGCTATTTTAAAATCAAAGTAACTAAAGCGTTACAAACGTAAGACACAATTCTCTTAATACTAATAGATTTCAAGTTCAAAGGCTTACAAAATATAAACTTTAAAAGTATATATAAACTATAGAAGAATATTCACTCCTATGACGCTTTTATGATTGTCTACAAAACGCGATGTTTCTAAGCGATTTTTTCTTTTGACAGTATTACAAAACCTTTTTATGGAGTAAAAGTTATAGGAATGGTGAGCGTATTATGCAATAAAAAACTTTTCAAAACACAAGGTCAAAAAACAATTTAAAAAATCCAATTTGTGGCATAAAAACGTTATTCTGTATAATAATGAATAATGAAAGGTGGATAAGTACCCTATCAGATAAGGTATATTTCAATGACATACCTAACTTATGTTGGAAGAAATAAAATTTTCATTACAAAATTGAGGTTATTTCTTCACACCAACCACATTTCACTCAATGATTTCACTGTATTCTATTGATAGACGGCGCAATACACATACATAACATTGAAGTACAGTAGTTTACGCGCTCATTTCAACTGTTTCTATCGCTTCAGAACACGGAATTACTTCACAATGCTTATTTATTTGTCAACAAACAAAAATACTGCATGCCCGTCTCGCGCGCGAATTACCGACTAATGTGTCGAATGATGTGACATAATATCCAAGGTTCACCATCTTCATCAGATCTTTTAATATTCTTTACTTTATCCATTTTGCATGAACTCTTACAACGTCCAATAGAGTAAAAACCCTAATTATAGTATTTTTTAAATAAAATCTACTGAAGACGCACTATAACCTAATAAGCTTATACTGCAGAATATCTATAAATGAAATATATCTAGAATAAACTTAAGAACACTAGTTTTAGAGTATTAATAGACTTTACTGGATGTGTATAGAACAATTTTACTAAAAAGAATCAGATGATCTACAGATGAACTTAAAATATGGACTATAAGAGTAAATCTTAAGAGAGATCACGCTTAATTAAGTTGTTTGGTATTAGGGTTTTAAAATTTTTACTTGAGTGAAACAAGTCGTCTGTAAGACCAATTTCTTTTTTCTAAAACCATTTATAGAGAACTTTTGTCTAAACCTATACCATAATAAGACTGTTTATAGATATAATAGTTTTAAGGCGTATAAAATGTGATGTGGTGGTAGTTCCACGGGAGATTATTATTGTCCGTGGAACTACTAGTAGTTCTGCTGGTAGTTCCACGGGCAACAAAGGGCATTTTGTCATAGTTTGTTTTTGTTGATTTTTGTTGAAGCAATAAGCTAATTTTTTTATCATGGCAAGTGACGGGACAAACAAGTCTGCCTTAGTCTTAGCCTGATGGTAAGAATCACGCTGGTCCATTCCAGTTGCAGTGGCACTCAGAGCTTTTTTATTAGAATACAAAGTGATGGGTTCCTTGTGACAGAATTCGTCCAGGGAAATACTTACCTATTTCTACCGCCAAGCAGTTCTTTGAACATTGAATAACAAATGAATGCGGCACTGGGGAGCGTACCGTGAGTTTCTATGATATGACGTCGTGTTCTGCGTCGTGACACGTAAACACGTAGTCTTCAATTTTGTGATATGATTTTTCGATCAAAATCTTTTTAATGTAGTTTTTAAACTTAGGAAATTATAAAATTAATATATGCTCCGAAATCTTATTGTAAAAACGTATACAGTTCCCCATAAAAGAGTTGTTTACCTTCGTTAAACGAAATCGTGGTACCAAGAGTTTGGATTTAGCTCTAAGGTTAATATTATGGATATTTTCTTTCTTATTGAAATTATGTATATTTTTGCGGGCATATAAAATATTTGAGTAAATGTACTGTGATGCCACAGTCATGATACCAGTCTCCTTAAACTTTTCTCTGAGAGAAACCCGAGAGCCTAGACGGTACATAGAACGAATCGCTCGTTTTTGCAATACAAATATGGTTTGAATATCTGCCGCTTTACTCCACATTAGAATCCCGTAGGACATTATACAATGGAAGTAACTAAAGTAAACTAGTCTAGCAGTACTAACATCGGTAAGATCATGTTTTCTGCGGACTGCGTATGCAGCGGAGATTAATCTGCTGGCCAAGGAAGATATATGTGGAAACCATTGAAGTTTACTATCTAAGGTCATTCCCAAGAAGACTGCTTTATTAACAAGGTCTAACTTTTCTCCGTTTATTTCTATGCTTGGACTAGTCGATTTTTTGTCTTCTTGGCATTAAGCAATAAATTGTTAGCATTAAACCAATAAACTACCTTAGAGATGGTATCATTTATGTTATGGGGAGTAGGGGTGACGCGGTACAAGTTTGGCTAGTTTTGTTACGACGACACGCAACGCATCGGCAACGCTCGTATGGCGTCGCTCTAACAGCAACAATTTTATTCTATCTATGGTTCTGTGGATCTATGGTTGTGAGCGATTCAATCAAAACTTGTGATTGATTTCAAAAAGATCTGCTTGATAAGAGTCAGATTTTGACTGTGTGATATAAATTAAACAAAAAACTATGTCAAACAGAACACATAGGCAATTAACCCTTATCATACTATCGCAAACAATAAGTCGTGTTCCATTGACACTTACAATCACACGAATGAGGGTATTGTGACCATTATCCGGCAAAGGTAATTCATGAAATTGCTTTGACGTGTATGATGTTTCGTAAATATAATTTTTGATTGAGGATCTATAGTCACTTATATTTCGTACCCTTGAAAGGGAAATGTTTTAAGCGAAGTGTTTGAAAGTGCTTTTATCACGTGATCTTCTAACCGACTTCAAAAACAGGAGGAGGATGTTCTTTTTTTTGTTTGTTTATGTTACGCGATTTGTAAACCGATTTTATGATTTTTTTTGTTGGAAAGAGGGTACCTCTGTAGTGGTCCCATTTAAATTTCAAAAAAATATTCCACCGCTAAGGGTGGCAAACTAGGGGATGAATGACTTTTGAGGTCCGTTTGTTAGCATTCTGTACTGGGATAATTTTTATTTCCCTTTAAACATTTTTGTATTGCAATTAAGTTTATACTATTTTTATTTTGATAATATACAGGTAAGGTAAAAGAGACAATAAAAGTTTAAATACTAGAAAGTAAAACTAGGATGTTTATATTATGAATAAAATTGGGTGGGGACCCCAGGGGGCAGCAAGGTGCCCAAGATGCTGGCAGCGTTCCCCATTTGTATTACTATGCTAATGCGTTGGGCAAGGTAGCTGCTGGCCCTTGGATTTCCCAGACAGTCCATTAATTTTTTAGATAAAATTTTGTAAATGTGAAGGGCACTGGGACTCCAAGGGCCAAGAGTTTCGTTTCCAAAGGCTGTAAATAGGTAGTCGGAGCCGAGATACTTATTATTACTACTTTTTATTCTTTCGACCAGCTCAGCTGCGGAGCCAGCCCTTTTGCTGGTTTGCTGGAGATATGGGTGGGGCACATGTGGCATATGTGGCGTCCCACACCAGTACCCGACCCATACTCCAAGGGATGAAATTCATTCCGTTCTGGCGTTTGCCATCCGCTCACGACATGCCGTTTGGCTCGAGTATAGCGGGCACGTTAATAGTGGCAAAGGCCACTATTAATGATGTCGTTGAGGTTTGCATGGCGGGAGATACGGCCGGCGCTCAGCTGGCTGGAAAGACCGTGGTGACCCAGAGCACTTACGTCTTTGCCGCAAGGTCACCGATGAGGGGAGCAAACTGGGACACCAAGGCGGAGGCCTGCAGCTATGCGAATGATCTCGGCGCTCAGGAAGGTAACGGTACTGGCAGAGGGGAAAGCGTGTAGCCAGTGGCCAGATTCCCACCTTGACGCTGCTTCCAAAAGCGCTCGGTCTATTGGGATATTCAAATATTTTTTTGTGAAATTACTCCACTAGTTTCTTATAATTATTAATACAAAGATCGAACACCTAGAAAAAATTCTTCGATACGTACCAGCCAGATGCTGTGCCAACTAAGTCACGGAACGAACCAGTCGACTTTACGAAATCTTTCAATATGCTAGGGTGCAGATCATTGTTTTGGTTTTTTAACGACTTTTTTCTGCTGCAGCGCCATTTGTGAGAAATATATTTCTTCATTCAGCCAGGAACTATCTTTGAAGCTGATTTTTTTTACTTTAACATCAGTTATTGCCGATAATGGACGGAACGAACTAGTCGTGCACCTGATGGTAAGCTACTCGCCTGTCTATAAAAGTTGCAGTGCCACTCAGAGCTTTAAATCGAAAAGATCTGAGGGGCACTGCCCGTCACCCTGAGACATAAGTTCACAAGTCCCATGTGTCTGTAATTTTAACAGCACCCTTACCCTTCAAAACTAGAACACAGTAATGCTGACATTACTGCTTGGCGGTAGAAATAGGCAAGGTGGCAAGATGGTAAATAACATTTTCATAAATGTACTGTGACGTTAGTGTAAGAATGTTAATCTCTTTAAAGACGGCACGGGATGCAATGCCTAGTGTGCACGCTTAAAAGGGTGATGTGGTGAGCAATGACACTCCAAGTCCATGAGGTACATGCACGATAATATAAGTATACGTATAAATCTTCACAAATTCATAAAATAGGTAAAATTGACAATAAATGTTCGCATGACCAGCCCAGTGAACGTTAGCTGAGCGAGACAGCGATCGAGCGTTCGTTCTCCTAACTTCAGCGCGCCCCGCAAACTTCCACTACGCCGGATGATGCCCGTTCGATAGGCGAAGCGTGAATACCTAGACAGCCTTGAGGATGCTTCGGAAGCCTTGGAGATGCTTAAGCAGCGTTGGGGATGCTTCGGCAACTTTGGGGATGCGTCGGCACGCACGACAGGCGCGAGCACGATGTCGCGAATGCATCGGCATGCCTAAGGAAGCTTTAGCGCGCTTAAGGATATCGCGACATAAGCCGTCAATGTGCGCTTGATGTAGGGATGCCGAAGAGTCCCCTGTCATTCCGTCCCATCAGTAGGCGCCGGGCCTATATATAGAACATTGCCTGGACTGTTTAGTAGGGAATGTTTATACTGATTGTATATTTTTTTTATATCATTTTATAATTTTATTGTTAATGCCGTTTTGTTTCTACTTGCAAATAAATTATGTGGACTGAGCCTTTTTTCTTTTCGCTAATGCTAGGCCACAAACTATTTCACAACCAGCTTTACCTGACCTCTTTTTCTTACCGCACATTTACAGCAGACTTAATGTTGCAAAACATCACGTCATCATGCCTATATTCAGTTTGACCCGGTAGTGGTGCCATGGCGTGACATGCACTTCGCATTGTGCTCTATCGCAATCGATAGTCAGGGTTGTCAGACGTTCACAATTCTCGTACACGCAAGAGAATTTAAAATTCCATTCTTGGTAAATAAAATTTATACTAATCAGAGTATATCTTTTCTACTTTTACTATTTTTCCATAGTGATTAATTCAACACTGTCACTGTTATGTGGAATCAAACAAAACCATTTGAACTGATATTCATTTATATTCATTTATTTGCATTTCACATGGATGATGATGTAAGGGTGTAGCAAAGTTACAATGAAATTTAAATACATTGCAAGCTTGAACGTAGTTAATTAGTTTAGGTAATTAATTATATTATAGATTCTATAATTATTAATAAACATAATTATTACACAAGATTTTTATCTTAAAATTAATTAAATTATTATTTTTATAATTATTGAACATTTTTATTAGATTTAATTTAATTTCTGATGATGAGCTGAAAATGAGCTTGCAATTCACATTTTAATAAACTTAGATACATACATGTGATACCCTGTTAGGGCGTAGCACAATTTAAACTTAAACCTAATGATACAATTTATATATGTTAAAAATATATGTTAAAAAAAATTCTTTTAACCTATATCATAATATATATTATTCGTACATTTATTTTACTATTATAATACTATTATAATATATATTATTCGTAAACTTATTGCTAATAATAATTTTTACTGAATTGTATTTACTATTATTACCAAAATTTCATACAGACATGAAATCAATTTCAAATACATTTATCGCCAAAAAATTCAGACATAGTATAATAGGTTTTTTTGTTTAAAAATTCTTTTAAACGTTTTTCAAAGACCGTGTCTTTATCCAATGTGGTTATATAAACTCATAGATATAGATATAGACTCATTAAGAATTTAAATTCGACTCTATTATTTAACTGCCTCACTGCCACAGGTTGCCATGCTGCACTGCTACGCAGAGGTCTCGGGCTCGGCTCCCGAGCCGGGAGAAATATTTGCATGGCCTATATTTGTTTATCTCGTGAGTTTGAGTAGCAATTTGTGGTTGTCTATGTGGGTGTCCATGGCATCCGCGACTCAAGTTTCAATAGTACGATGCTATAAAAAAAAACTCTGTGCTGCTTGCAATAAGCGCGTTTGTGCAATCAGAGACTGTACAAATCTAGAAAACTCTTACCCACTTCGGATGTCGCTTCTGCACTAAGTCCGATACGAATCCAAAAAAATACGATATTTCGGCCCGTCATTTCTCGGAACGTATTGCGCAAACGCTGTATGAACGCTTTAAAGTCCAAAGTGTCATTATGGTCTTGGCTGCGGAAAATTTATTTGTAACGGCACGAGGAATTTTACAAACGCGATTCCAATTGTCGTCTTCTGGCGACCCTTGTGCTCTACATACTGTAATGACCGGGTTAAGATAGCATGTAAACTACTGAAAAGTTGCATGTAAGTAGAGAAACAGGCACGTTCGATTTATAAGACGATTCTCACAAGGTGTCCAATAGCAACTATAATAATAATAAAAAATAATAAATAACGTACACACTCATATCCCCCCATTAGGGAAACCCGTTTACACCCAAACCCAGGAGACAATTTTTTTATTTATTTATGTAAGTTAACCACCAGCAGCTGCGGCTGTCGCCTACGTTCCACTTACCCGGTTGGCACATTAAAATTTAAGCGCCTTAGTACATCCGCGTTTTCATTTCCCCCCCCAGTAGTAATTTAAAAATATATGTTACTAACGCTACATTTATCCTGACTTCGAGTTCATTGTAACCTAAATAAATGTAGGCCATGCAAATATTTCTCTCAGCTCGGGAAACCAACCAGGAACCTGAGTGTGGCAATGCAGCACGGTAACCGTTCGGCCACAGAGGCAGTTAACCACACGTGGTTTCGAAAAAAATGCATTTGCACCTTTAGAATGACAGTGACTTAATTTAAAAAATGTATGACTTTATACGTAAAACGGTTTAAAATTAGTGTTCATAAGGTTGTTAATTTGGAATTGACTCATTGAGGCTCTAATGGCATAGACTGTCTATATGGGTTTTCGGTAATATGTTTGAAATTCCACTCCCGTACGTAAACGCCGCATTTAGCGTTGAATCTACCGCTTCCAGTTAACTACTTGACTAAATGTTTAAACGTTACGTTATCTTTATCAAGGTCTCCTTCGGTTTCTTAAAAGCATCCCTTGCGTAGTAGCAACTAGCCCATCTAATATGGTGCATTGTATGTACATATGACCGACCAGTACCTCTTGATTTAGCAAAATAATAATCTCAGTACAGAGTACTAAAAAAACCGACCTCAAAAGTACGTGGAATTACGTCTATTTGCTAAGTTTTATTGAAATATTCCCTAGTTGTCCATTATACAGGACTTGACACTGGAGATAATAAAAATTGGTTCTCACTACTCAAAGTGTATTGAGACAAAAACGCCTTGAGTTGGAGAAATAGCAAAATCAACCATTAAAGTAATTGCTTCTAAATTAAAGTTAGGCGCTATTTATAAAAATGAATCTTTATGCGTGAACAGCCATCCTTGGAAGTGGATGATTTTCTTCAAAATGAAATGGGACCACTATGGAAGTACCCCTTTTCCAACAAAAAAAAAGAATCATGAAAATCGGTTCACAAATACCGAAGTTATAGTCGAACACGTTAACTAATTTTAAGTGTTTTTAAAAGAGAATTTTGTGCTCTATCTTTTGCTATTTAAAACGGATATTTGACCATTTGTCAGTTAGCCGCATTTTAGATAGTGGACGGCAGAAATGTACAATCTCCACCATGCGCACAGTGGCGGCTATGCTCAAGTCGTAAGGCCTCCCTTTATACACTTTAAGCAGTGAGCACCGATTTTCTATCTCCTGTGTTGAGTCTTGTTCACCCTATTTAGTCTAACTCTACTATATTGGAACCTTCTTGCCTAAACAAACACTAACCGAAGAATAATCTAGGTCTTTATTATTGCTTACAGCAAGAGTTTTGTATTTTGTTCTATTTAATGGTACTAACATACAAACAATGTTTATGAGAACCGTGTCAACTGACGACTTATAAGTATAGCTTTGAATCTGTAAATAATTTATGCAATAAACTCGAGTCTTTAACAAACACGTGTCGGTTAAGCGTGTAAGGGATAACAACTTAGAAAAGTTTCAGCGTAATGGGATGAACTTGAGGTATGCACTACGCAGCAACACATATTTCGACGACCTTAAAAAGATTCCGTCCAAATTAACCAAGTCAGAACAATCTGTCTACGCGATAGGAACATTAGTATACAATAAGATACCGTATGACATCAAAGATGCAGCTTCACTGTTTAGTTTTAAGATTAAGTTAAAGAAGTGGCTACTAGAAGAACAATTCTATGATTTTAAAGAATTCCTTATTTCTTAAAATCAAATGTCACAATGTAATTTCTATCGTATCATGATTTATATTTGATTATTTGATATTGTACTTATTTTATTTTATTACATGTAATCTTAGAATAATAACGCATAGAAACCTAGTCCGCACACGCTAAGTGAGGCAAATTGAAGCGCGCCAAAAGGGCCTACACGAGCGCGCGGGCCTTCAGTGCTCAAGGTCAACTTGCACCGCGAACAGATTAAGAATTTTAGCTAAAAATGACGAAATGTGCGGTAAATAAGTGTAAAAATACGTCAGACAAACATAAAATAGATACTAACATCACATTCCACAAGGAAGTAACTTGTTTCAACTTGTATTTTTATATAAATATTCACTAAAACCGAAAATTAACCTACTACTAAAACTAGCCTACATGAATTTGATTTTTGCCTCACTTGTGACAGTTCGTTTGATAAGAAACTATCATTCTATACGTTATTATTCTAAGCATGTAATATAATGTTAATGTGACTTACTTATAATGTATTGTAAATGGAATGCTACGTACCTACTGTTTTATTTTATAATTAATAGTGAATGACGTAGTTACTGACTTGAAATGTAATATTAATGTAATGTCCGTTTTACAAATGTTGAATGGTATTAATAATTGACTTGTAACCATAGTAACGTATAACATTGTTACCAATAAATAATTTAATTTCGTTTACATTTCATTTTATGGCAACGTACTGCCCGATGCCCGACCTTCCCGATTCAGATACTTTATTTACCTATCAAACCAGGACAGTCTGTAGACTATACAACTCTTAAACTACTTCATGATTTAAAAAAATTATAATTCATTTTTTTTATTAGCAGTAGAGCTCCCTGTGAAAGAATTCATCGAAGAGTTCTGCCGACAAGCAGTAAAGTCTGCATTAAGAGTGCTGGTGAAATGTGTGCCTGTTACACACGGGACTTGTCAACTTTTGATGAAGATCTTTGCAATTTAAAGCTCTGAGTGGCACTGCAACTGCTATGGACAGGCGTGTCGCTTACCACCAGGCGCATGACTTGTTCGTCCCGTCACTCGGTATTATCACAAAGATCTGAGGTGCACTGCCATTGCGCCTTTCACCCTGAGACATAAGTTGACAAGTCCCATGTGTCTGTAATTTCACCGGTATCTTACCCGCTAAAACTAGAAAGAAATAGAAAAAGTGGCAGAATTTCCCTGGACGAACTCTTTCACCAGAAGCTCTACTGCTGTTAATATCCGCATCAGCATCCGCATTCACAGATGTTGATATTCATTGCGGATGTTCGACTCGTGGTATGACCTAAATGGCAAGTTGGAATAATTTACAAGCCTTCCAGAAACAGACTGTAAGCCAAGCTGCTGCTTGTCTTACAGTCTGTTTCTGGAAGGTTGCTGTTAGTTGTTGTTTTTCAGATATAACTTTGCCAATATTCCAGAATGATTAAGCTAGAAAGATTTATTTATTTATTCTTTTGTGAATAAATGTCACAAAATCATTGAAATAATATTTTATTACAATACTCATTGATAACAAATGACAATAAAGAAAATTGAAAGTTTTTCATGTTTTTCATTACATTTTCCTTGCTTGCAAATGGTGACTTTTTGGGGAATTTATCGTTCCTTCTTATTGTATAATGTAATGGCCTCGTGAATATATTATAAAAGGATTACGAGGATTACACATAAATTATAAAAGGACTATAATGTTTCATAATTTTACAAATAATTCCGAGAATTTGAAAACACATCAAATATTTTTTTTTTTTAATTTATTAAGGCTTTGGCAAAGCCATCAGCCTAAACATGAAGTTTAATTATGTTTCTGTAAATATGGCCACCACAAAGAGGATAGACAATTTGAGGCGGCGTGCTTGGATTGACTCGGGATTCCTTATAACGGGCCGATACGGGTATTTTAGTTCGAAATTCGTATAATTTCGCATTTTAATCTTCGATTAAGGCACAATATCACTATCCTATTCCACTTTAAACTAGATTTCACAAAATAATTGAAAGTCAAAATAAAAACGACACTTTTCCCTCCAAAAGGTACAGAGCGTATCCTCAAATATTAACTCAACTAAAACCATAGACTATTCCTGTATTTTTTTTTCCGTCCTAAAAACATCAAAAATCTTTAGCAAGCCTGACACTCTCCATGGAGACTCTCATCCAAAGAGACTGCAACAGTCATACCGTAATATTAAGTGACTTCGAAAACCGCCACAACTTTATTAACTTTTTTGGAGTATGCTGTTTTACATCGGGGTCTTATTAAATGTGAATTTTAATCGGTTCTGAAGAATTCCGTTCGAAAATGATGATTGAAAAAATGATTGAATTGATGATTCGAGATGACAAGAAAAGAATAAAAAAGAAAAAATAACTAAACACACACTCATAGGCCCACACTACCAAAACTTATTATATATATAGTATTAACTTATTACTAGCCTGTATCGCGGGTGCCATGGACACACACATAGACAACCACAAATGACACCCAAACTTACAAGAGGAATAAATGTAAGCCATACAAATGTTTTTCTTAGCCCGGAAATCTGCGTGGCAGACCAGGAAGGTGACCGTTCGGCCACAGAGGCAGTTTTAAAATGATACAATAAAATAAACCCTTAAACACTTACCCTCATTGATGGCGTCCCAAATCCCTGAATAGCATTAGAGAGAGTCCTGGGCGATGATATCATCCAGAGCGCAAATGAAAAAAGCAGCGTGCACAATACCTGAAATAACAATGCTTGATTTTACAAAATATTATAACTCTTTCATAAAAAAACCGACTTCAAAAGTTTGTGTCCTCGAAACGAAAAAGGGCACAACTAACATTTTTATTAGAGATGCGCGGAGTACTCGTTTGCTACTCGGTACTCGGTGTACTCGGCCGTTTTTATACAACTCGTACTCTTCGGTTAAAATAAAGCATTACAGCTATAGACATAACAAAGTAAAACCAACAATATATTTAAAATAATCGAAAGAGATTTATTACTACAAATTCTAGACAATTGTAACAATTTGTAGCAATTTAGTAATTTAAAAAAAAGCTTACATTATTAATCTTAAACAAAAAGCTTAAATTAAAATTTAACAAAGGCAAGTTATGATTCAGGAATACAAGGGTTTCTGCGCGTTCAAGTATTAATAGTCTTTTCCTTTTTTCTTCATACACATTACTCGCTTCGGAAAATAACGGCTCGCTAAACACAGTGCTTGCAGGTGCACATAAAAACACTCGCGCTAACTGTGCCAGTTTTAAATATCTTGTTTTATGCCCTGCCCACAATTGGAAAGGACTCTGCTCCCGCGACAATAAAGTTTCATTGACATATCGGTCTAATTCTAGAGCAATGGGACATTTACGATCATCGAGTTCCGGTTATAATGAGCCGAGTAACTCGGCCGAGTATGTTACACCGAGTAATATTCGGTACTCGGTTACTCGGTAAAAATTGTGCTCGACGCATCTCTAATTTTTATCACAGTTGAGTTTCATATATATTCGGGATCAAGAAATAAAGGCCAATCTATTTTTTTTTTTGGAAATATGTATATCTTAATAATTGTCGAATATACAGCATGTTCAAAGGGCACACTGACTTCAATAGTCTAAAAGCTAGAAGTACCCGTTCGTAACTACACCTAGGTATAAAGTCCTTTTCTCCCGCCCATTTTGTCGTACCAATATCGGCAAACGCTCTCCAGTTTATAGGAAGTGTAGCAATTATAATTATTGAATCCAGTACCGCCAGAGGCACTGTTCATGTTCCCATACTAATTACGATTTTAACGCAAACGCGTTCGTTACGTTTGCCATGATGAAAAACTTACACTCGAGCTACAGGTCGTGGATATCTTTAGTACCCTTCTGTACAGGTATAAGCGTGAAGTTTCTATCATATTGAATAGTTGTTCCTTCTGATTACTATTGTGTTTATAATTATTATTCAAAGTAATTGGATATCAACGAGTATTGTACGTATATGTATGTATGTGGGTGTATGTATATATTGCACTGTTATTACAATAGTGTTATAACCCAAAATATGTGAAATTCAAGCGTAATGAAATTAAAATTTGATTCTCTGCACGTCAATAAAACAGTCGTTAAAATATTATAAGAAACAACTAAACAGTTTGGACAAAACAGTCCTTACTTTATATATATATATACGTGTTGAACAGCTACGGAGGTACCTAAAATACTTACTTAGAAGATATATACAACCTACAAACAACACTACTTAAAATAATTGTACTTGTTAAAATTAAAAACATGTACAAGGATGACTACGCACAATTATTTGGTAGCTGTAAAGTTCTAATTTTATTTGATAAAATAAGAATGCTAACTATTTGTGAAAGCTTCACACTAATTCATGACTTGGAACAAAAAAGGAGACCTTCTAATTTGCGTAGTTTATCGTACTTACTGACTTACAATTTACCGAAATATATAAATGTATATGAGCAAAGAACAAGAGGTTACGTGCTCCCGGATACGCTAAACACTTTACCTAAACACCTTATACAGACAATATTAACATGTAAAAATGTAAAGCAATGTATAAACAGGTTGAAGAATTCGATCAAGTACTAATATTGTTAGTTATTGTTGTTAGTATATACAAAAATTTATTATGGTAATAAAATATTTAAAATATTATTATTAATAGTAATAGTTACAATTTCTCTTGTTTAAAAATTATTTCTCTTTATTTAGTTTAATGTTTATTTCGTTTATCAAAAAGATTGCGCTATAATGCTGTGAGATTACTGTACCCACCTACGTCAAAGGGGTTGTTTAAATGTCTGCAATACATAAACAACAGTTAATTGTTTAAACTTTAACCAGTACATACAATAGTGAGTAATTACTTTTTCATCTCTTCTGAATAAATACAATTTTTGAGTTAATACACTATTATATTGATAGTGCGATGTGAATATAATGTAAGTATGTGGTGGCAGTACTCCGGACGAACTCTCTCACAAGGAGCTCTACTGCTATAATAAGTGAACACGGTCGTACTTTGCGTCCTTAGGGATACTGACGCTTCCCTGTCTGCTGTTTCTTCAGATAGCCATGTATGCTCGTAATCATTTGTATCAGTTCGCACAGAGATGCGACAATGAGCAGTACACACTGCGATACGGAAGCCGTCTCCGCGGCGATCTTCACCGGCTTGAGAAGGCGACGCGGACCATTCATGCAATGAGCCATCGCGTATACAATCACCTATCCGACGACATCACTAGCGCTCCGAGCGTCTTCCTTTCGCTTCAGGTAAAAAATTTGGCTAATACAGCGCTCTTTTTTTATTTTATCGGATTTTTTTAATTTTAAATAATATTATTTTCTTTAATGTCAGTTTCAGCCAACATAGCCCCGCTAGGGACACCCTGTGAGGTGGGTGCCATGGACACACACATAGACAACCACAAATAACACCCAAGCTCACGAGATAAATAATTGTAGGCCTTAAAAATATATCTCCCGGCCCGGGAATCGAATCTGGGACCTCTGCGTCGGAGTCCGGCATGGTGACCGTTCGGCCACCGAGGCAGTTTATAAAGCACTTCAATACATTTGTTTAGTTAACATTTTCATTGACATATAAGGTACTAAATTGACATGAAATTATGAATAAATGTTTATGATTTTTTAACTATTCTTTTTATCCGAAAAACCTACAAATATTTAAACTTACATACGTAGAAAAATGTTAATTACGAATTTAGAAATTTCCGCTTTTGCCTTTCTTTCGTCCGAAGCCTAGTTTTCGACATCACTTACCCTCTTGTACTTTTTACAACATAAAACAACATACTGAAATCTAAGAATAAAGGCTGAAAGTTCATGAACACTCTAGTTGAAGGTTTTCATTAAGTCTAGGTAGCAATTATTCATCTAGGTCACGAGGCCTTGAAGATACCAAGGCTTTAATTCGGTCAGCCTTGTCCTTGATATACAGCATTTTGGACATTTCTACACTGTAATTTGTATATAATCATTGGTGTTTATTAATGTATAACTTATGATGGGTAATTGAGTTAAAAGTAGGGCTGTAAATCGAGACTCTGAGTCGAAAAATCTCTTGAAAAATGCGACTTTTTAGACTATTTCAAAAGCAGGTTTCCATTCTTATAGGCTATTTTTAACCGACTTCAAAAAAGGAGGAGGTTCTCAATTCGACTGTATGTTCTTTTTGTTTTGTATGTATGTTACGCGATAACTCCGGTATTTGTGAACCGATTTTCATGATTCTTTTTTTGTTGGAAAGGGGGTACTTCCATAGTGGTTCCATTTCTTTATGAAGAAAATCATCCACCTTTAAGGGTGGCTGTTCACGCATGAAGGTTTATTTTTATAAATAGTGCCTAACTTTAGTTTAGGAACAATTATTTTAATGGTTGATTTTGCTATTTCTTCAATTCAAGGCGTTTTTCTCTCAATATACTTTGAGTAGTCAGAACCAATTTTTATTATCTCCAGTGTCAAGTCCTGTATAGTGGCGAACTAGGGGATATTTCAATAAAACTTAGCAAATTGACGTAATTCCACGTACTTTTGAGGTCGGTTTTTTTAGTACTCTGTACTGACATTATAGTCTGTCTATTTTGAAGACGGAGTAAAAATGACATTTGCCGGGTTGTAGTTTTCATAAAATTTTTAACAGTAATAAAGTTGAATTGATATTCAATTATTTTTATGTGAAATTACTCCACTAGTTTGTTATAATTATTAATACAAATATCGAGCAATTAGAAAAAAATTCCTTCTTAGTTGACATAGCGACTGTCACGGTTTACTAGAAGACGTCGGTACGGATCCGGCCCGATCGAAGGATTTTTTCTAACTGTTCGATCTTTGTATTAATAATTAAGACAAACTATAGTGGAGTAATTTCACAAAAAAAGTAATTGAATATCAATTCAATAAAAATTTAAAAGCGAAATCGGAAACAACGAAGGTGCCACAAGCACCCAGAACCGAGACAATATAGAAAAGCTAGCTTTCTACATTAACCCGTCTGGGGATCGAACCCTGGACATCAGAGATGGTGACACCGTGAAAACAGGTGTGCAAACCACTTGACCACGGATTTTAGTAGCACTAAAGCTCCTTGTGAAACAGTTCGTCCTAAGAAGTGCTGCCACCTTACCTATTTCTGCTGCAAATTTTATTACAGGCACATGGGACTTGTCAACTTATGTCTCAGGGCGACGGGCAGATTGGCAGCGCCAGTCAAATCTTTTCGATTTAAAGCTCTGAATGGCACTGCAACTGTTATGGATAGGCTTACCACCAGTGCACGACATGTTATAAAAAATCATCAATTAAAAAAAAGGACGTCACTAAGTCGATAGGTGTGGTGACACTCTTTGTACAGTTTTCTGACTATAAATAGAAACTTACTCACCATGACAACAAGGTTCACAGTAAAAAGCACTCCAGCAGCTATTTTTGACGTCTTGCCTGTTTTGCCAGACATTTTCATGGCAATCTGAAACAGACAAGTAAGTATATTAAATTTCTAATATTATAATTAGTAGTTTGTGGTAGCCGAAACGAACCCAGAGCAGCATCAAGGACCACCTCGAGATAAATACCCTTTCAAACCAAAGAAGAATTTTCAAAATCGATCCGCAATTTGACGGAGAAATTGGTGAATACACGGACATGCCTGTAAAATTGGAGGATTTCCTTTGATTTTCATGGGATCCCCTCATCAGAATCTGACTTGGTGACAATGGAACCACCACGAGAGTGCACCCTTTCAAACAAAAAAAGATTTTTCAAAATCGGTCCACAATTGACGACTATATCTGAAAACATACATACAGCCGAACGTATAACCACGTCCATTTTTTTAAAGTCGGTTACAAAAGACGACTCTACAAAGCCGAGGGCAGCCGATCGTTTTTTTTTAAACTGAATGTGCAATATTATTACGGCTTTGTACTATACAAGCCTCCCTAAGGCATAAATAATACATAATGCAAGCCGAGGCCAGCGCAATTGTCGGTC